AAAGGCTGCTCTACTTCGAGATGAAATGCTAACACAAAGTCAATGCAATTCATCACATCATTTCCATCTGCTCCACATCCCTTCCTGAGGACCATCTATGCCGCCAAGAGGACACCAAGATAGCAAGGTGCTTTTCCTCACCTCCTTGGAAGTCTAAAAATCCTGCTGAATACATGAAGCAGCAAATGTTAAGAGGTAAGATCCCACGACCAGATTCTTTCCTCCTCTTCAATCTGCTGGTTGTAGGCTCCAGGAGGACGTCTTAAATTAGGGATGCCATCTGGACAACATGGGTCACAGTTCAGTAGCGGGAGGCAGGTGGCATTGCATCTGCTCCCAGTAATTATCCAAATTTATCTCCCAGCTGGGAAGCAGAATCCTAATAATTATAGTGTATTAATAGCCAGACTACTTAATGGGCTATGGTAGGACTCAACAGATGAAAGGCAAATTAGATATTAGTTCAGTAAATGTTGCTATGTATAGTTGTGGCTGCTTACGACAATGAAAATCATAATGTGGAATTAAACATGAATGTTTACAATCAACTCTAGTTGAGCATGCTTATGCATCACTGGTTGCACCAAAATTTGGCTGATGTTGCACATTCCACTGCCCATCTAGCTGAAGGTAATGCAGTACAGATAGACAATATTCACATATGATTTATGTCCACTGTTTCTGATACACCAAATGATACATATGTGGATGCTTTCTGATCCATCAAATGATATCATACAGTATGTGGTCCTTTGATTTATCAGTATTGGTGTAATCTTATGGAACTGACAATATTTAAACCCTTATACAATTTACCAGCAGTTGTATTGTGAAGCCAGAACCTAAAGGCATTCACAGGTAAGATCACAACCTGGCACAGTCGATGTCTAACTTGCAGGCATCAAGCAGGGCAGTGCGGCTGTGCTTGGCTTTAGGTGACGATGTATATAGAAATGCAAGTCCTCAAAGGATCTGGACCAGAGGTGATTGAGCACAGGGACAAAAGGGTCAATACGGGGGATCCAAAAACTGCAAGGTATAGAGTCTAAATGGAGAAATCATTCCTAAATCAAATACATCTGGGAACAAGAGGATGTTAGGTATGGATGGGGGGACAAAAGTCACATGACCTCAAGATAATTTACCCATAGAGAAAATATTCATCAAAAAGGCTGATTGGTCAAGTGGTCTCCTCATGAAGTTAGCAGCAATCAACAAGCATTTCAGCAGGAGTAAGGATTTAGTGGTAAAGCTATTCTGTGCATGGGCAGGTGGCATCCGTAGTTCCTGCAGGTTCACAGCAATCCAGAGATTCAGTGAGATCAAGGAGTTTATTATTAAATAATGTTCGAATGTCCATCTACAGTGGTACCTTGGCTTAAGAACTTAATTCGTTCTGGAGGTCCGTTCTTAACCTGAAACTGTTCTTAGCCTGAGGTACCACTTTAGCTAATGGGCACTCCTGCTGCTGCCGTGCCACCACCGCACAATTTCTGTTCTCATCCTGAAGCAAAGTTCTTAACCCGATGTAATATTTCTGGGTTAGAAGAGTCTGTAACCTGAAGCGTCTGTAACCTGAAGCATCTGTAACCTGAGGTACCACTGTACAAAGCAGCTAACTTTGGGAACTAACTGGCTGCACATGCACAGGATCTCATTTTCATAGCACTGCTGAGCTTTACAAACTGCATTCTAAACCAGATAATTACAAACTTCAGCGACTTCACTAATAAAAATGAAAAATGGCATCTTTATGGTCCTACCTCCGAAAGGATGGTGGCCTCCCATATTTTTGCCTTTTGTTTTATAACAAATGTTTGGATCTGTTTTTCCAATGTGAAATAGAAAAGCTCAGGTGCTTTAGTGCTTTCTCAGGTGTAACAGGGGTGCCAGGAAATTCAGTTGTTTGTGTAGCCCTCTAAGCCATTCATCTCCTGGAAGCAAGCAGATCTGGAGCTTGTAAGGAAATGCTTTATTGCTTTTGCCGCTGTAGCCTAAATGTGAAGACATCACTGCTCCCTCAAGCTTAAAGCAAATCCTTTAGCTACACACATGCTTTGTGAAAATTATGCCCAGAACATTACAGCAAGAAAGTAGTGGAGCTTGAATTCAACAATGTAAACATGTTTTATTCCATATGATTTATATACCAGTGAATTTTCTCTCATCTCTCTCTGTTTACATCAGAACAAAAATCTGAATTGCCGTACTACAAACTAATGCGTAAGGTCTCATTCTCATCACGTTGTCATGACAATATGAAAAAGCCAAAGGCATATGGAGGAGAAATACTGTCAACGCAAAACTCCACATAGCTGTGGCCATGGCATTTCAAAGATAAACATTTTTAAAAATAATATGACTGGCTGCAGATGTAACTGAAACACAACTGACTAGGCAAGCAGACAGTACTCTAATAAATATCATTAGAACATGTTTTAATTTAGAATTGCCCTAGTGAAAATAGGCCCCAATTTCACCTAAAATTAATTTTCAAAGTGAATTTGAGTCAGGATCACTACTCGGGGCAAAATAGAAAAGGATTTTCAAAGGAAATAAGCAGAGCTTCAATAAGACCAGCAAAAATTATTGTGGGATTCTGCATATCCCTATATGGAACTCCCCAACTCTTTTTAAACAAGTGCCTTGAATATCTTGTGGCTCTTGTGAGCACTGGATATTCTTTTGGGAATTTGGAGCTGAGTAAGAAATTCTCCATGCATTGGCAAACTTGAGAAGATTTGGAACTACGTTCAGTGCAGAATTTCCATCAAAGTAAACTTTTGAGGTAGATTTGAGGAAGTTCAGGGGAAGTTTTGATACGGTGAGCAACCTTCCTCAAGGGGTTCCATACACTCTTAACTCTATGGACTTCATTTCTAATCATTGCTTTCTTCTTTGAGTAAAAATACTACCTGAGGCCTGAGCCATTACCCCAAGCCACATGCCATTAGAAATGTCTTTATAGACATTACCCTGCTTTGACCGATAGGCATAGCCACATAGAAAACACCAAGAGAACCAACTGCTATACTTTATGTTCTTCTTATATTGGGGTTTTGAGGCAGCTGTCAATGGAGGCACCATATCATTTCATTGATATGGTGCCTCCACTGATTGATTGATTGGTTGGTTGGTTGGTTGGTCAATCAATCAATCAATCTCCTTTATTGGCATTGAAAAAGTGCATTGTATACATGGACACAACACAGTTAACAAAACATAGTGGAGATACTTTAGGATAAAACTGTCCAGACATCATGATGTACGAAAATAGCTCTTAGGACCTATGGTGACATAATTTCATGGCATCACTCAAAAATCTTGCCACAATCTTCACAACGTCATTCCTACAATTGTTCAGCAGATAAGGCAACCTGGAAGAGTCAGTGCGATAAATCTCCTCCTTCAATTAGGGGGCCAAATACTTGAAGTATTTGTAGTGTAGTGAGGCACCACATGACAAGCATTTGTGGACGTTAGACCACTCTGCTTCCAAGTTGTACTATAGGCAATCTGCACCAATGTAACTTCCAAATTTCTTTTTTTGTACTAGGCAAGTGCCTGCTCATTTTTACATATGTCTTATCTTCCATTGTATAACAGAATGTGCAATGCCTTATTTTCCACTACATCCCTGTCTTTTCTGGAAAAGAATCCCCCATGTCCAAGCTTACATGCCCTTTCTGCACTTTGGGATGCTGAATGTCTAAGTGCTGGAGAGGGGGAAGGAAATTTGAAAGGTCTATTTTGGCCAAGATGAGGCCCAGAGCAACAGGAAGTGCCTGTCAACATCACATTCAAAGTCACTCCGAGTCAGTGAGTTATGGTGACAGGATAACCGATTTGTGACAATGGGCCACAAGTTATTCATTAAGAATTGCAGGCATCCTTTCAATTGTCCACTCTGTCAAGTGGTGTTTTTTTCATTTGAGCAGATGGTGAGTCTTCAACAAGCTGCTCATTGTAAACTAAAAATAAACACTGCCCTGGGACTCCAGAAGCTCTCAACATAACCTTTAAGAATCTGACTGACTGAGCCGTTACAAAGACAATTAAATATTTACAATATTGCATTTGTGTAAACACACTTAAGGTGTAATAAACTGTACACTGAGCATGAAGAAACAAGCGGAGCATACAGAAAGATAGTTCACCTTGCCTTTCTGATCATCCCAGCTTAACAATCTCAATTTTTCACTGTGTCTATTGGGTCCAATGCTTCCAGCTAAAAACTGGGACAAAAAGTAATTTATATATATAGTTTTACTATATACCTATATAGTCAGAGAAACGCATTTGGTTATTTTAGAAGCCCTATTTGGGCATTATTACCTCCATGTGAGTGGGATGTGGGTGGCGAATGGGATGCGGGTGGCGCTGTGGGTTAAACCACAGAGCCTAAGACTTGCCGATCAGAAGGTTGGCGGTTCGAATCCCCGCGATGGGGTGAGCGCCCGTTGCTCGGTCCCAGCTCCTGCCAACCTAGCAGTTTGAAAGCACAAAGTGCAAGTAGATAAATAGGTACCGCTCCGGCGGGAAGGTAAACGGCGTTTCCGTGTGCTGCTCTGGTTCGCCAGAAATGGCTTAGTCATGCTGGCCTCATGACCAGAAGCTGTATGCCGGCTCCCTCGGCCTATAGAGCGAGATGAGCGCCGCAACCCCAGAGTCGGTCACGACTGGACCCAATGCTCAGGGGTCCCTTTACCTTTACCTCCATGTGACTAAGATGATGTGGAGAAAGAGCTCCCCCTACCCTAGCCGCTGCATAACCTACCAGTCCTGTTCACATACTGTCCATGCATTGGGACTTGTCTGCAAAAGGGAAGCCTGTTGAACAAGTGTAGACCCTCCATATAATTTGAACCCTGTGCATACTGCTAGCTATGGGGCTGTTGGGCAGCCAGCTTTCTTCCTCTTGGGATGCTCTGCCAGAGCAGCTCTATCATTTTCTACAGGGTCATGAAAATTAGTGAATTGCTCTCCCACAAATAGGAGAAAGGGTTGTAGCTCAGTGGTAGGGCATCTGCTTCCATACAGAAGGTCCCAGGTTCAATCTTTGGCATCTCCTGGGCTGGGAAAGAGTCCTCCCTGGAACCCTGGAGAGCCACTGCCAGTAATGAGCTGGATGGATCAATGGTCTGACTCAGTTGAAAGCAGCCTCCTGTGTCCATAGTTTGTGCCCTGTGAGTGGAGTTGTGAATTGGAGGAATCCATTTTGTGACAGCTCTATGGATACATTAATACAATATCTAGTCCAAAGCAGTCAAATCTATTTCTCCTTCCCCACCAAAAAATAATAATTCCAAAGTAAATCCAAGTGAATTCACCTATATATAATCATGTTATTAACATGGTTTAATTAGGAGGTCCTTACATTGGTACCTTGGGTTAAGTACTTAATTCGTTCCGGAGGTCCGTTCTTAACCTGAAACTGTTCTTAACCTGAAGCACCACTTCAGCTAGGAAAAGCACTGTTCATTTACTAGGTGTTTTTGGAGTGTGGGTGTTTTCCAACCAACTATAAGAGCATTGTCTCAAAACTAAGGATCTTCTGCAAGGACCAAGGTCCTTGTTCAACAGAGAAGTAGCATCCATGCACTTATGTGGCCTACTGCCCCCACCAAACTCTTAGTCCAGTACACTGTAAAACTGGTGGTGCTCCCATGCCCCTCCCCTTTTATTTTCACCAGGAGCAAAACCACCCCAGTAGAGAACAAAATGTTTTTCTTTCCTTCTCTCCGACTGTCTCCAAGAGTGATGGAGACTGTCAGTGAGGAGCCGAGCATTAGCCTTTGGCAACAAACGGAGTAGATGAGATTGTCAAACAGAAGCAAGACGTGAACAAAATTGAAAACTGCTTTGTGTTTAATACCTGGAAATGCTACACCGTGCGCTTCTGGGAATTTCAACTTTGTTTATCATGGAAGGCCTAGTGCATCCCATTGAGCTCAAAATGTCTCCTAAATAAACTTTTATTCCGTTCAAAAGGTACGAGAGAGTATCAGCTACAATCTACACAGTAATCAGTGTGGGCCATTTCATGTCTGTGATTCGTACTGTGAATGCTAACTGAGGTCTGTGAGATTATGTGCTGGTTCCACTGCCCAGTTCTGTTGCCTTTATTCACACTGAGATCTATGTTGGTCTTACTTGCTGTTTATTTTCTGTGAGAAAGATATGTCTATACTAGGTCTGATTTATACATTACTACCATGTTGTCTGCTTTAAAAAAAAAAAAGGCTTTTGTGTGGTAAGGTGTTCTTTTTCCCCTCCTTTTGCTGCATCTCCATGAGAGGTAAAGCTTTGCTGCTTGAATTTCTGCCCATGAGCCTTCTATTAGAGCCACAGCAGCTCTGGAGAGATATATATATATATATATGTGTGTGTGTGTGTGTGTGTGTGTGTGTGTACCTTGGGTTAAGTACTTAATTCGTTCTGGAGGTCCGTTCTTAACATGAAACTGTTCTTAACCTAAAGCACCATTTTAGCTAATGGGGCCTCCTGCTGCCGCCACGCCGCCAGAGCACGATTTCTGTTCTCACCCTGAAGCATAGTTCTTAACCTGAGGCACTATTTCTGGGTTAGCGGAGTCTGTAACCTGAAGCGTATGTAACCTGAGGTACCACTGTATATATGTATGTATGTATGTATGTATGTATGTATGTATTACAAATTTATAGCACTGTTGTTTAGGCCTGGGCGATACCTGGTTTTCAACATCGCGATATATTACTAGCTAAAAATTACGATATATCAATGTTGTAGCAGAGATGAGGACCTGATGAGTTCAAGACTCCCCTACACTAACTGTCATCAAAAAAGAGGAGGGTTCTTCATGAGTTCTCAGCTAAAGTTGAGTATAGAAGAAAAGGAGCAAACTCAGGCACCAATAATTAAAGTTGCATACTAGTTCTTTCCAGAAGGGTAATGCTATTAGTCTCTTGCATCAAAAGCAAAAGCAGGCAACCTTATTCAAGGATAAAGTAACTCTTGTTTTCTCTTCCTTGGCTATTGCACCAGTTGAAATTTCAAATGAATATAACATAAAGCTCAGTCCCAAAGGCCGTACAAATTCATGTTACAAATCCAAGGGAACCAGGAGCCTTGTGTGACCATGCCCATTTACATATCTACATTTATCCATACTCAAATCTGAGTCGTAGCAGAAATACCGCCCTTCCTGATGATGATAAAAAGGTAAAGGGACCCCTGACCATTAGGTCCAGTCGCGGACGACTCTGGGGTTGCGGAGCTCATCTCACTTTACTGGCCGAGGGAGCCGGCGTACAGCTTCCGGGTCATGTGGCCAGCATGACTAAGCCGCTTCTGGCGAACCAGAGCAGCACACAGAAATGCCGCTTACCTTCCCGCCGGAGCGGTACCTATTTATCTACTTGCACTTTGACGTGCTTTTGAACTGCTAGGTGGGCGGGAGCAGGGACCGAGCAACGGGAGCTCACCCCGTAGCGGGGATTCGAACCGCTGACCTTCTGATCGGCAAGCCCTAGGCTCTGTGGTTTAACCCACAGCGCCACCCGCGTCCCTCCTAATGCTGATAATTCAAGGTAAATTAGGTCCCCAGCTAATCTTGAAGGTTGCCGTAGAATGAATGGGAGCTTTTTCTTTCCTTTTTGCCAGTATACAAATAGCTGGTTTTGCTGGTGATACCAGGGACCACATGCAAATTGGTCCCACATCCGGTTCTTACAGTGGCCAACCAGATGCCTATTGGAGGCTCACATGGAGAGCATGAGTACCACAGCACTCTCACCACTTACGCTCCTCATCACTATTCCAATCGTTTGTGTTTCCACTGCAGTATATCTCTGTTTACACTACTGGAGCTAAGGCAGGACTAAGGTATCCATTAGAATTTCAAATTAAGACAAGTAAGTATGCCAAGAGGGGCATACAAATCAAACTTATCCAAGCCATATTTACAATTGCCTCCCTCAAGGTTATGCGAAGGAAGCAGATCCATTCCGCACATTGTGACTGTCGGCTATTGTCTTAAATATAAAGATAAACACTATTAATGAATCTGTTGATTAATGTTTGCTAAGCATTTTTGAACAGTGACAACGTACAAATCGTGATGGGTTATTTTGTGAAGCTTTTCACCCACGTCACCCAGCTGTATCCTATCAAAACCAGACACACCTGGGAATTGTGAAAGAGCATTGATCTGAATAAACTAATCTCTTTTCTGGCCCTTTGAGCATAAAGGAGCTAATTTCAGTTTCATGACTTGAACCTATAAAACTTTATCAGCTATGATATTGTATGCTGCAACAGGTTAAAAAAAACACAACCCAATAATTATAGAAGGGGTATTAATCAACGTTTACTGGTAAATCACTTATTATTCACAAGAGTCTTGCCTCATTACATGCTGACTGGACTTCAGATAGCAAAAGTTCAGGCTAGAGTTGAGTTCTTCCTAGGAACAGAAACTTTGGGGGAGGGTGAGAAGAAGTTGTGGCTTTATATGACATACTATTAGAAGAAGTTGTTTCTCATCGTAATAGGTGTAGCGCTATCAAGGTCCTAGCTACTAGACCCACAGATGAATGGAAATTAATTCAAATTGTTTTCCGTTCAATTCGATTCCGCATTATTTCTTCACTGAAGTGAAGAAGGAAAAGCCTTCAAAGCTATTTGGCTGATGAGCCAGAGGGAATGTCTGGGATTACCTAGAAATCAAACAAAGGTTCTGGGAGGAAGTTCTGTTGTTTAGAACAGTTGCAGAAACAGGTATTTGTTTGTTTGTTTTAAATGATATTTATCGAAAGTTTAAAATTACAGAAAAAAGTGTAAAAAAAAGAGAAAAAGAGATTAAACAATACAAATCAATACATATAAAAAAAGGAAAGAAAAAGAAAAAGAAAAGAACAAAACACACAATACATCAAGACCAAAAACAAAAGCAAAAAAGTTAAAAATAGATCCAATATTTCTATATCTTTGTCTTTCATTAACTTGTTTCATCGACCTCCTCACACCTCCCTTTTTTGTATTCTAGTTATTCATTATTTCAGCAAATCCTTTCCATCTTTCACTATTTTCTGTCATTTAATTGTCTCAATTTATTTTAACTTTATCTTACCATAAAAAACCCTAAAACTTAAAACTTATTTGTACATAACTCCTTATAACATTTCTACTAAAGCCATATAGTTTCATTCCAACATTTTTCTAACACTCATAAATTTTTCAATATTTCTCTAAATAAATTTTTTAAAACTTTCTTCCAATCTTCATCCACCATCTCTTCACCCTGGTCTCGGGTTCTGTCAGTCTTTTCTATCCATTCCATCTAGTCCATCAACCTGGTGATCTCCTGTCCGAGGCTCTTAACTCTTTTCCATGTCCCTTCTGCAGATCTTCTTCATATTTATACCTACACTTTACTTTGTCTTCTGCTGATCTTGTTCTTAATTTCCTTCCTTTGTCACTGAGGAGTAGGTCTCGGGAAGACTCCAACCTAACAATGTCTTTATCCCTTCTCGACAGGTCAGCCTATTCTCCATAGACAGGGCCAAAATCCAAAAAATAATTCAAAGCATGTTTCAAAGTCCCTCCAAAGTTAAAGGCCCTCGCCACTCCAATCTCCCCCGGCCCAAAAACAGATCCCAAAGGCCAGAACATCCCTGCATGAAGGGATCTTTCCAACTTTCCTTCTCCAATCCAAGCGGGACTCCATCTCTCCAAATCTGGCTTTCTCCAGATTCGGTCTTCAAAAGCAACAGCTTATGCTCATACAAGGCCGAGGCTCTCTCCACTTGTATTACTTGAGGTTCAACAACAACCTCCTCCTTTGTCTTCTCCACAGCTTGCCATGTCAAAGCAGATTCCTGGGTCGGTTCCTGAGTAGTTTCTTTATAAGTATTCACTTTTTGTCCCAAATCAATCCTTTTTTGTCCAAAATTGTCAGTGCTAGTAGTCATCGCATCCATCTTCTCATGAAGCTGTTCCAATGAAGCATTTGTTTTGCAAAAAGCAATCACTAAGGCTTCTTCTGTCCACATTCTTGTCCAAGGTCAATGTCTAATTCTCACGGCTTTAATC